ACTTATTCATAGTATACTCTTATATCCTGATTTTTTTTTTTTTGCATTTAACATTTTTGGGACACTTTCCAAGGTAATTAAATATTTTTCAGGAAGTTGTCTTTTTCATAGCTGTGTGGTATTTAATTATGCAGAGGTGCCATGATTTATGTAATCATTCTACTGTTTGACATCTAAGTTGTTTCGCTATTAAAATTATGCTGGATGAGCATTTTTATATATCTCTCTCGCTCTGTGTATACCTCCCATCACTTCTTTTAGATTAAGGAATTCCAGCTTTACACAACACTGTGTCTTTTCATTTATTTAATAAACACATGCTTATCATTGACTTATTTCTGTTCTTTTCTAGGCTTCGAGCAGCGCGGGGAACTTAGGTGTACTCATTCCTGTAATAGCTGTGGTAAGTATTCATTTTAATTGAGTGGCTTCAAACTCTAGATACTGTGCTCATGTTTTGAGTGTTGCACGGTGACACACAGCAAATTCCTTTAGAAAAATGCTGTTTTGAGGTGCCAGTGATTCCGTAGATGTGACTTGACCACTACCGTAGGTATGTGCCAGAGTGGTCACACCCCTTACTCCCTTTCTCTAAGCCTCACTCGACCATCCTCAGCAGGTTGACTAGGGAAGCCACTTCAGTTCTCTCTTGCATGGCTCCTAGCTCCATGGTCTGACTCTGGGTTTCTCCTATATCTCACATCCTGCTGTGGTGCCTCTAATACAGGCAGGCACCTGCTTCCAACTCCTTCCCCACTCCTTCCTGCAAAAGGAGGCCTTAGGCCGCTGGTTGGTGCTCAGCCTTGTTGCAGCAGCTCTCGGCTCTCGATGTCCCCTGGAGGGCATTGTTGGCACAGTGGGCACAGCACACTTTGGGGCACAGCTGCACCCACCATTGTGGTGGGCAGTCGAGGTACAGGCCCTCTCCCCTGCCATAGCACTGTCTGATAGAGAGCCCCTGTCCCATCTTTTCCTGTCTCAACGAGCAGACACTTCTTCTCAAATGATCTGTATAAAAGTAATTTTTCCCTTTTTCATTCATTCCCAACTACCAGTCCTAAGTCAGGCCCGTATTCTAGTATGTTAACCCACTTTCTAGTTACACCCTTGCTTCTACCTTCTAGTTTCTTCCCACCTCAACCCACCCCTAGTAGTTTGAGTCTTGAGCACTTACATGTGCATCCCTTCCTTGACCTCTGAGCTGCCATAGTGACTCGGGCATAGAGGTCAGGCAGGCAGGAGTCCTCTCCTGATCTCTGCACAGCACTTTCTGTACTTACCACCATCTGCACATTCATCATTCTGAATCTGGAGACCTTTAGGAGCTAATTTTAGTGGCCAAGAGGATGAAAAATAGTAACTGACTGGATATTATTCTTCACTCTTAAGATGACACATTGCATTTTGTGGAACATTCTGCTTCCAGCCCACCTTCCTTCTGCCTGTTCTTTTCTCTCCTGTCCCTCCCTCCAGTAAGTGGATGATTCAGGAGGGGAAGCAGAGTCACTTGTTCCCCTGCCACTTCTGTCAGGACAGCCTCCTCATCCTCGGTGTGTTTGAGGAGCCCATGGGCTTGGGCCTGTCCGCGATGACTTCTCACGTTCCTTTGGGATCCTTACTGCCTTCATACCTGCGAGCAGGTATTCTCCCAGAGCCCTTAGAGATTTCAGGATTACTGGAACTCTTTCTGCCTTGGTATTTTCCATCAACACCCTCATTGGTTAATTTTTTAAAACATAAATTTTTTCACTTTATAGTTAATATTGGTTAGTAGCACAATTGTGTTTGGGAAGTGTCATTGCACATGGGCCCTTCGTTTGACCTGGAGGGAAAGTATAAAGTCCATGGTGCTCTCTTGGCCTGTTGGAGGGGAGAAGATGGATATCACACAGCCAAGGTCAAAGGAGTGGGGGGGCCTATCCACAGAAGAGCAGGTTTTGGCAGACAGGGAGCATGCTTGAGGTGAGACTCGCATTGATGTGCGCCAGAATTCTATGACCCATATGCCTGGGAAGTTTTAAACATGTTTAGCATATCAGAAATCTAGAGGAAGCACTTAGCACTTTGGGGAAGCGATAACTGGTGAGGTTGGTTTTAGAGTCACGGGGCCAGGGTTGAACCTCTGGTCCTGTATGTGGGATCCTGAGTGAGCATCGCAGCCTCTCCACTAAAAGATGACCCCCTGAAGTCCTGGCCGGGTCAGGGTAGGCACAGGTGTTAGCAATGACAGGCTAGAATATACTTAAAATACGTGTTTCCTCTGCTGCAGTGACCTTTTATGTGAATAGGATAAGTATTGTAGTTTAACACGTTAAGCGCCATGTTAGTCACCGGTGACTGACTGTACTTTCTGTCCAGACCTCGTCAGTCACTGGTGAAGATCAGATATCGGTAAAATCGGATATCGCGAGCTAAACGGAAAGGAAGACTAAACAGGCTTGGCACTTGACATGTTAACAAAGGTTAATGTTTATATTATGGGAAGGAAACAAATATTTGATTCCGTTGCTCAACAAAGAGCACAGAGTTCATGGACTCCCGAATTTGCTTTCTCGTTACCCCTTGGACTTCTAGGATAACTAATTTCCAAAGTTGTTGTTTTCTTCTTTTTTTAATGTTTTGTGGTGGTTCGTTTTTTCTTTATTTATTTTTAAGGAAAAGATACTCTGTTTTGGATCTTTTGATCGCTGAGTGTCTAGAATTCCATTGTTCAGTGGCAGTGGGTTTGGTTTGGGGCTGGAAGCCTGGGTGTCACTCCTAATGCAGCTGTTCACTTACTTATCAGTGATCTTGGGACCCTGGAGGGAGTTACTGGAGGCTGGGCCTTGTCATCTCTGAGGCTCCTTTCTGCTTAGGTTTGGTGACCTTTGTCCTGCAACTTTATGAATAATATTTCTTCACAGATATCACTGACTAAATTGCTTCTTTTGGTGTCTAGCTCATTAGTTAATTGAGCATTTTTAAAAATATATTTTTTTATTGATTTCAGAGAAGAGGGAAGAGGGAGAGAGAGATAGAAATATCAGTGATGAGAAATAATCATTGATCGGCTGCTTTCTGTACAACCCCCACTGGGGATCGAGCCTGCAATGTAGGCATGTGCCCTGACTGGGAATGGAACCGTGACCTCCTGGTTCATAGGTCAATGCGTAACCACTGAGCCATGCCAACCAGGCTAATTGAGCATTTTGAAAGTTTCTTCTAGAGGCCTGATTGCTCCATTGTCATGAAGTAGTGATTTAATAACATGTGCCTCCTGCTTGAAAAACATTTGTGCCCTTCACTTAGAGCTAGTTGACCTGTGCCACTATTTTCTCAGTGCCTGTAAAATGAGGTTTATGGACTAACAATTTTTAGGTCATGGACCCCATTTGAAAGCTGTGCCCTCTTCCTCCATAGAAATGCCTCTGTTCACAAGGGTTAGATTTAACCTCAGGAAGTGAAGTGGGAGAAACCCAGCCAAGGCCCCCGTTAGGACCCCTGGGCTAGACACTGTCTCGGATGAAGATAGTAACAGGAAGTTCTTACCTAGCTCTTGTTAAACACTAAGCACAGATCTAAACCCTTTCCAGGCATTAACTCAGTCCTTACAACAGCCTCGTAAGATAGGTACTGTTATTATCCCTGCTTTATAGATGGGGAAACTGAGACTCAGAATTTGCCTCTAAGTCCCACAGCTACTAAATGTCAGAGCCAAGATTTAAACCCAGGCAGCATGGCCCAGGGTCTGTGCTCTGAACTAACACCCCACTGCCTTGAAACATGGGTCAGCTAGTTTCTGAAAGAGGGGATCCAGGGGCATTGTGAGTGGATGTAAATGAATGAAAAGCATGCAGAGTGGAGGGCCTCGGCCTGTGCGGATGTCAGGGCATAGAGGAGCCTGCGCTGGCTCCAGCCGAGGTGGGGCAGCCAAATGAAGTGAGGCGGTTGCCTTTCTGGGTAGGACAGGTGTGACAAAGGGCTAAAAGCAAAGTTTGTTGAAGCAGCTAAATGTAGGAATAGGAGGAGCAGGAGGAACCAGCAGCAGGATGAGGAATGTAAGTCAAACACCAGAGAAGAACAGTGTAGAAGCAAATTGGAGAAGGAATTCAAGGTGCAACCTCAGGCTTCACCTAGCGATCAAGAGGATGTGACAAGGAAAGATTTGGTCTCAGCCCCGTACTTGTCAGTAGATGGTGGAGGCAGAGGCAGGCCCTGGGGCAGGAAGTTGGGAAGAGAGCAGGCCGAGAGGGTTAGCAGCGAAAGCAGGGCCTGGGTTTGAATTCAGGCCTGAGGAAGGTCATTTTACCACTGTGAGCTTTAGTTGTTTGTTCAGCTGCAAAAAGGTGATAACAGTGCGAACCTGTCAGGGTCGGTGTGAGACAACACAGGGTATACCCATCACAGTGCCCCCAACATTGGGGAGCACTAGGTCCTCCTCTTTCGCTGCCCCCATGACTGGTATTGGTCTCATTGGGTCAGAGGCCCTATGTGACAAGATTCCACATGTGACCCTGGAGTCAGGCCAACGTACACTTGAACCCTGGCCACACCACTCACTGCAGCAGCATCTTGACCTGTCGGGGTCACAGTTGCACAGCCGCGCGCACAAAGCTGCCATGCTCTCCCTGGCACGGCCCACCGTCCCCAGCACTCTTGGATTCTGAACAGCCTCTTTGGATTCCACTTGTCTTACCCAGGTAGCGAAGAATCCAGAAGTTTATTCCTCAGATGTCCTTTATCAAACCAGACAGGAGCACATCTGAGGGTCTCCCTGCGCCCAGGGATGAAAGCCAAAATGTGTGGCCCACATAAAGGCTGATTTGAGGAATTCCCCATGCAGCCCCATCCACAGCAGCCCTGTCCCCGGGACTTAGCAACTCTCACCTGAAACCGTGCCATGAGCCACTGTGGAAAACTCAAGTTACTTTTTCTAAACCTCTGTCATTTCTGGGGACATCAGCTATTGTGAATTTAGCCTTTCTTATTTGAGCTTCAAAAATTAGAATTATAACAGATACACAGTGAAAGTGGTGATATTTATCTCTAGGGTAGAAGGCAAGGCCATGTGTACATACTGTCCTCTGGGCAGCAGTGAGGTGACAGCAGGAGTACAGATGACAGCTTCCGTTTGGAAGGTTGGGCCTTTACTAGAATTAAGCCCTAATGCCAAGGGCACCCCTTGAACACGAGGTGGCTTCTCTCCTGGCATCGGGGATGGTGCCACCTGTGCACCTTCCTTGAGAAAGGTGAGAAATTAGTCATGCCGCTCTTTTCTGTGTTCTGTGTTTAGATGAGGATCCCTGGTTGAGAAAGGCTTTGAGTAATAGAGCCAGATGTGCAAGGATGGGGACTACAAGGGAAGGAAGTGCCAGGGAGGCTCTGAGGAGGCGGGAGGTAAGCTGCTCTGTATGTTGCTGACACCCTCTAGGTAAAAGCTGACATGCCACAGGTACATGAACTTCTCTGAACTGACAGCATTGTTCACTATGCAGAATTAATTCCAGCAGGGTTCTCATTGTTGGTGAATTTCTTCTCTCATATGTTTCTCAGTTTCAGAATGGTAGTATAAACCACAAAGTCATGATGCTAAACATCTCTGTTTTCATTGTTACAATGAAAGCAGAACTACAGAGTGCCCCCAAAACTTGAGACACCCAGATCTCTATCTTTAAGACTTGGTGGGGTTGGCAACTTTCCCCATGAAGAGCAGGCAGCTGGTGCGGTGCTCATAGACGAGGAACAGGAAGGGGCGGTCAACATTGAAACGGACTTGGGTTGTCAGAGGCATGAACCCCACCGTTGTAACAGCAGCAGCTTGGGTGCCCTCCTCGTTCACTGTGATGGTACCTTGGTGCTTAAACTGTTTCAAAATGGAAAGGAAAGTTGTCAGATTCTGTCAGTTGGCACACAGAGGGATAGAAGATAGGGCGGAGTTGCATCTTATTCGGGGACTAGGTTGAAATACTATATGCACGGCACAGACCACAGCTGGTTAGAATGACCCTTGAAATGCTTTCTAATCACCCATCAGATATGGTAATTGTGCTTAGAGGCCATGTTGTTTAAACAACACTTATCTGTAAACTCTAACATCATAATCATTCTTTCCGGTGGTCACAGTATGAGCAGTCTGTGAGCCAAGACTTATACTCTGGGGTGCACTGGGAGGATTGGGCCTGGAATGCACATGGTTTGGACTGGTGTTTTCTGTTTTGTGGAATGCCTATCACTGGTGTGTTAAGTTCATAGTGCAGTAGTGCACTGTCTCTGCATGTATTTCACGGGTCTTTCATGATTCGGCCGGGAGTAGCTATTTCACAGAGTGGAGCACACACCTGCTCTCTCTCTGGTGTCAGCAGGAGCTGGGCTCAGCCCCAGGCTGCTTCCTGAAACAGGCCACCCTGCCCACTCAGTGCCTGGCAGACTCAGGGAGAGCAGACCCAGCTTCCCCAACATGAAGTCAGGGCCGGGCGGGAGGAGGCTTTGCGGGGGGAGACCCTGGGGCTGGGTGCAGAGGGCAGAGAGGAGAGATTACCAGATCGATGGCGATCCTCTGGTCTGAGATTCCTGTCATGTCGCTGCTTTTATTAAACAGTGCCGTGATCCCCATGGACTGCAGGGCCTCCACCAGGTTGTAGTTCTTCTCCAGCTTGAATTTGGGCAAGAGCACCTCTCGAGTTCTGGTCAGACAGTAAAAGGGGGCCGAGTTTTATGAACCACAAGTTGAAAGGGTCATGTTTCTTCTTTATATGCACCCAGAGTGGTGCATTTACCACAGAATTGACACAGCACTTGTTAAAATCCTATCCTGGTACTGTCACTTGAGGATTTTGGAAAGACCATCTTATTGTAATCCCAGTTACCAAAGACTGAGGCCTGGTTACTGGTGAGTGGTCATTTCCTCAATACTCTGGAGTTCATGTCCTGTCTTCCAGGTTTATGGTTGGAGAAGATGTCTAAAATTATTGTTTGGTCCCTAATTTCAGCCACTTCTTATTTTATTAAGGTCAATGTGCTTAAAAAAAGAACCTGTTATACATATGTATACCAGACAGTGCTGAGCATTCTTAGTCCTTGCCTCAGTTCATTCAGTCCTCAACTGGATTAACAGCAACAATAGTGCCTTTGGAGCCAGATCCAGCCCTCACTGGGACAAAGAGAAGCCCGATGCTATTCCCCTTCTCAAGAGCTTGCTTTCCTTTTAGCAAGCCAAGACTCTCATGTGAAGCAGTAAAAACATAAAGATGGTATGTTCATGTCTGACCAGCTATAACAGGGCTAACTACTGGAGCCATCCAAGAAGGGATGTGGAGGAGGGATATTCCTGTGGCCTAGAAGGTTGCCCACTGCTTGAGAGATGGGGACCTCACTGTGTGAACAAAGGCCTGGAGGGAGTGTGAGGCTGTGGTCCAGCGGGGGTGCAAGGGGCCACCAGGCCGAATGGGAGGGGAGAGAGGAGGAGATGGGAGTAGAGCAGGCTAGATGGGGCTGTGTCCGTGGGCCAGGCCAGGAAGCTGGTCTGTATCCTGTGGGTGGGGGTCCACAGAGTTTATGAGAAGTGGCAGGTGGAGATGGTGTCATGAGAATGCTCTTCTGGCAGCCAGTGCTGGTAGACTGAGCAATGGAAACAGGCCGTTGGTTAGGCCTCTGTAGGCTCAGGGTAGAAGGTGGTTAGGAAGCAGGCAAGTACAGAAGGGACATTTTTAAGGAGAAATTGTCAGGGCTTGATGACTAATTGGCTACCTGGGCAAATACCTTCTTCTAAGAGCTTGTTTCTTAGTTTATTACATTTCTTTGTATTCTTGTCTCAAAAGGAGACCACACCAGATTCACTTCTTAATGTAGGCCTAACCAGTATCCAGTGAGACAGAAATGTAACTTCTTCATTTTCTGCCATGATCCAGTAATAATCTTAGTAACCTGTAGTTTTGACTATGGAGTAATAAATAATAATATAGGAAAATCATGAAAGACATGTCCTTAATGAGTTAAGAGGGGGAAGGTCTTTGTTAAACATCTCTCAGGTTCTGGGCACTGTGAGGGATGGTTGACATTGCTTTTCTATTTATTTCCCCCAGTGACCGGGCAGTTATGGGATCATGCTGCTTGTATAGATAACAAAGCCAGGGCTCAAGGCCACAAAGCAAGCCCATGGCAGAGCCAGGATTATTTCCAAGCTGTGTCTAAGTCACCTGTCACTAGCTTCTGTCTTTACGGAGAGCAGATGTGTTTTTTACAGAAGCTCTGATTACTTCTCACCAAGCAAGAAATTTGGGCCGAATTAATAGAGTGGCCCAGTGTGGCAGTTCTTGGGTATTCATGCATACTTTTCCATTTTTCTTAAAATGATCAACATACTAGTATTCCCGGGCTCCCTCAGGATCCTGGAAATCAAAAGGACGCTCAACCTGAAGTACCTGTTGGTCATGCTTTTTTGCCATCTCTCCACCACCTGGGGCGTCAGCTGTGTCTCGAGGGCCTTCATTCCCGACAGCTTGTGCGGGACCACGATTAGCATGCTGATGCCGCCCACGTACTCCAGCTGCAGGACGTCGCAGTCCAGCTCCTGGTCATTTGTCGCCAGGAAGTTCCCCTTGGTCTGCATCATGGAGACCTTGACCACCTCTCGCTCGTTCAGCCTGAAGTTGTGGTTGTGGGTCATTTCCGTTGGGAATTTATTCACCCAGGATCCTATAAAGTCAACAGAAACGGGGCTTTCGTGAAAATGTTCTATTAGAGCAGTGGTCCTCACACGTAAGCATGTATCAGAAGCCCCTGGAGGGCTTGTTTGGACTGCTCCCACCCCCAGAGTTTCTGATCCCAAAAGTCTGGTTTGGGCCAAGAACTGGCATTTCTCACTTGTTCCCAGATGTTGCTGATGCTTCTGGTCTGCACACCACACTTTGAGAAGCACAGTTTTAGAGGATTCTAAGGTCAGAGCGCTAACATACTTGTAGGAAGCATGGTAATGGGGGAGGAAAAGTAGATTGGAGTGGATTCTGGGTTAGATTCTGACACTAGCTAGGTGTAGACCCTAGCACAGTGATGGCGAACCTATGACACGCGTGTCAGAGGTGACACACGAACTCATTTTTTGGTTGATTTTTCTTTGTTAAATGGTATTTAAATATATAAAATAAATATCAGAAATATAAGTCTTTGTTTTACTATGGTTGCAAATATCAAAAAATTTCTAGATGTGACACGGCACCAGAGTTAAGTTAGGGTTTTTCAAAATGCTGACACGCCGAGCTCAAAAGGTTCGCCACCACTGCCCTAGCAAGACACCTCACGTGCCTGAGCCTCTCCTTGTTCATTTGTAAAGTGAGTAGCTTTTAGCTCAGGGCAGATCTGTTTTGGTGGCTTTTATCCCTCACACTCTGCAATTCTCTAAGAACTAGCAAGACACATTGGTGATGCTGCCGTCAAGACCTTCACTTTAGATTTGGGCACAGCGCTATGTATCCAAGAAGAAGTACATGACTAATTTAGTTCTAGGATGCTAGTAACTAGTAATGAGGGATCCTTGACAGATGAGAATTGGTGATGTCAGGCATTCTTTTTAGCACCTTTCCTGTATTACCTCATTTTCTCCAGCAACCATACAGAGGTGGGTGCTTTTTATTATTAGCCCCATTTTACAAATGAGGAAACAGGCACATAACAGAACAACTTCAAGGTTTGCAGCTGGTGGGTAAACAGAGCTGAATGAGGTAAGCAAGAGGTTCCTTTGCAGGAGGTTAAGTGCCCAGTCAGTCACCGGTGACTGACACTATACTTTCCATCCGGAAGATAAAACAGGCTGGGCGCTTAACGTGTTAAACACTACCTGCTCCTGATGGTAGCTAAGTTTCCTCCTCCCTGAGCCGGCCTCTGCCCCGGAGTTGCAGCACTATTGACACGGGCAGTTCTGCTGGGCAGCTGTCCTGTGCATTGTAGGATGTTTAGTGGCATCCCTGGCCTAACTTTTGAAGCTGTTCCTAGATGCCAGGAGTGCTTCCCCCTGCGTCACAGGTTTTGTAAACCACAAACGTCTCTTGACATTTGCCCTGGGAGCAGAATTGTCCCCTGGTTGAGAATCACTATTCTTTCTGCTGAAGCTGTCATGTGTCTCCTGGGATTCTTTCCTTTGACTTCCTGTTGAGGCCGAATCTCTGTTTTATTGTGCTTTACAAAGTGGTTGTAACATTTAAATTAAAATAAAAATAGTAACAAATTTGGGGGCTGGAGATTAAAATTTCTCTTTTAGACTCTCCTTTGATAAGCATCCATGAAAGACTGGATGTTACTAGCATTTCTTCCCTCTGACTCCCAGGATTAAATTAAGTGACTGAAGTTTCAATATGATGGCAAAAAGAAGCACCTATATTTGCCACTTTTACACTTTCGAGGACACTGGTTACTGAGGTCAGGAGATTATAAAGTGACCATCGTAGCTGTTTCTCCAGCCCCTTTCCAGTTGGGATGGCTTGCTGCTGTGTGTCTGTCTGCTCAGCACCTGGCCAGCCCGATGCAGAGGCTCTTGGGGCCCAGAGGTACCCCACAGACTTGTGAGACTGAAGGCTTTGGTGTACAGATGCTTGCACTGGCCTGTTCTAAAGGCACTCCTAAACAGAATTTAATTGCTTATAGAAGTTAAATAATATTATGCATAATATATAATACTGAAATCTACAGTTTGACTCTTCCGAGTTCATTGAGACTTCCCAGCATGCCATGCACTGGGCTAAAGTGTGGCACCACTGTCTCTTGCAGTGCTGCTCCCAGCCCTGTCAGAATAGGTGTTATCTCTGTGATAAAGGTGAGGAACCACGTCACAGAGATGGTGAATGACTTACCCAAAGCCACACACATAAGGGGTGGTGAAGCCAGGGCTTAGACTGCAGTCTGCTCACTTCTAAAGCTGCTAGCCAGCAACAGAGATATGTCTGTGTGCATACATACAGGTTTCCCCCACTCTCCAAACATAGAGCAGCCCTGTGGAACCCTGTATAAGCCAAAGTGATGTCAAGTGAAGAGGGCCTGTATCCTTAACGGAAAGAAATCTGAGGAGGATTTTCGCTTTTACAGAAAAGTTGTGTGTCTGTCACAAGCCTGTTAGAACTCAGCCTTTGGTCCCACCCTCCACAAGGACAGTGCTGTGCCTGACTCTTGTGGGGAAGGGGGAAGCCAAGGGTCCCGCTCATTCCTGTGGTCTTGGCTTCCTCGGCGCCCCCTTGCCCATCTAGCAGAATGCCTGCTTGGCACAACTGTTGGGAGGTCTTGGCATAGGCACAGAGCAGTGTGTTGGCCTGTTGAGGGGCGCTGGCCCCGTAGCAGCAGCCAGGAGAGGGCCTTAGTCCTTTGCCGCTCGGGCTGGTGCCTACTAATTCTTGGTGGCAGAGAGCAAAGTGTCACAGAGACCCGAACCCGTTGTGATGCTGGCTCCTTCCTGTCTCTGCCCTCCAGCCCTCTAGCCTCATAAGGTAGAGGTTTCTTGTTCAGGTCCCTGAGGGCATTTTAAAGAGAGTCTGGATTTCACAGACCTATGCCCATTTACTTGTAGGACTCCAGGGTCCTGTGTGTGTATAGTGAGGGGGAGTCGCCTCTGTAAAAAGTGCTTTGGGCCCAGCGTCGACCTATGAACCAAGAGGTCATGGTTCGATGTCCATGTGCAGGAGGCAGCCAATCAGTGGTTCTCTGTCATCATTGGTGTTCCTGTCTATCTCTCCCTCTCTTCTCTGATATCATTTAAAAAGAACATGTTTTGGTGTCTGGCCCAGAATAGTTGCTCTAGAAATAATAGTTTATCCGCCCCTACGCCTGCCCATTAGTGCAGTGTCCCAAAAAGAGTTGTAGGTGTTAATGTCAGTTATTCAAGCTGAATAGTTTTCACTTCAGCCTTTCATCCATATTCCTGCTTACTGAAAATTGGGCAAGGAAATGAAAAAACTCCAGACTGGCCCAGTGCTAAAATGGTTTTTGTATTATTTTTTCCAATTTAACAAGGTGCTAGAGATGGCCCTCCTGGGGCGACCCTGGCTCTGTCCCTTACTAGTGATACTTTCTTTCTCTGTACTTTGGTGTCTCTGTCTGTAAAGTGGGGACGCTAATAATAGTACCAACCTCCCAATGTTGTGACGATTCAGTGAGTGTGAAAACACGAAGTTAGGGCTCAAGAGTGTGTCAGCTCCTACTGTCACCTCATCATGATCGTGCCTGTCTCTGTGAGCTGACCTAGTGTCTTGGTTTCTTGGATAAATCAGAGCTAGAATATAGTTCTGGCATTCAACCCACCTGCATGTGTACTAAGAATATGTTGCGACTTTGCTTTGAGAAACATAAAGCTACTTCTTACCTTTAAAGTAGATGCAGTTTAAAATCATCATCTCAGTGGCTGGGTCTATATTCTCCAGAGCATCTTTGATGAGGCCCTTGGTGAGCTTCAGAATGTGGTTGTTGGTTTTTGATATGAAGGCAGGGTCTGAGAAGTCCGCTGCTTGGGCCTCGGCAAAGTAGTATTCTTTTACTTTAGTTTTGAAGTCATTCAGGATTGGAAACTGCTTCTGGATGTAAAGGTCATTGACTGACCGCAGCGTGTACCCAAAATCCCTCCTGAAGAGGCGATGGGTCAGTTTACGAAAGAGATTATGAATGGTCGTGATTTCATACTTGCTGCTGGCATTGACAAAGTCTTTAAAATGCAAAATTGAGTGTACTTGTTCATGAGTCTCCCCCTTCAGGCCCAAGGACAGCATGCCCATGGCGGTGGAAATGCCCACAGGGGCTATGAAGATGTTGTCGGAAGGACTGGCCTGCTCCCTCAGTGCTCGGTAAAGGTTGAAAGCGAACTTAGCATTGAGGATGTTAAGGCGCTGGATCCGGCTCTTGCCGTGGAAGAGCTGGAGGATGTTCCCAGCACTGGCCTCTGAATCTGTGGGTGAAACCACGTCGATGATGTCGATGTAATCATCATCTTCACTGAATAGCTTCTCCAGGTCCAGATAGTCCTCGTCCTCCTCTCCCTCTGTGATCCAGTCGTTGGTGACCGTGTTTTCCTTGTGGAAGTCAGCAGCGAGAAGGGGCATGCTCAGGTTTTTGCGATCCACAGACTCAGAACTGTCCCCTCCTTTCTCAAGCTGATCCACCTGGCCATTGTTCCCACACACAGATATTAATATGAGAGAAACAACGAGGGGTTGGAACGGGCATTTCATTTTGGCAGAGCTAGAGCTGGAAGGAAAAGCACGACCTGTGAGAGTCAGCTTAGCAGACCCCACCCCACCTCTGCAGTGCTTACTCGTAGGTAGGAGTCCTGGAGGCTTTGACCCTGGGAGTGCCAGCCTTTAACCATTTTAGGATTATGGATAAAGAGAATCTGGTGAAGATAAGCCGATACTAACATTGCACGCGGACTTCATAAACCTGCCTGAAGGATCCATGGACCTCTACATGAGAATCCCTTCTTTAAAGGTTTGCAGAGAACCATAACCATCTAGAATCCTGGGGGCTCAAGAGCCCTAGGGAGTTTCTTTTTCATTCATTCACTAAACTTTGTCTCCTATCTTCACACAACCTGTTAGGCACCGGAAATATAAAGGTCTCCCCCACCCAGGGGCTCACCAGCCAGGTGGGAGACAGATGTGCACTAAAGAAGGTAGGGTGCGTGATGCAGATCTGGGGTGCAGTGTTGCCTCCTACAATAGGAGTGGGGTATCCAGAGAGTCAGGGAAGCTTCACCAAGAGGTGAGGTTTGAGTGGAGGTGTTGAAAATATGTATGGGCCAGGCTTTCTGAAAACATATTCTAAAGGTATTTGAAATTTGTGTAGTCATGGAGGGTTAGTTTGCAGAAGATTTGGAACTTGTCCGTAACAGAGACCCCCTCCAGGCTTGTGAAATGTGACCGGTGGGCTGAAATGTGTTGGGGCTACAGGCTGCTTGCTGCAGGTGTGCTTTTTTCTCCTTTGTGTTCAGCTGGCTCCCACCGCTCAGTGTATCTTACTTCACTGCTTGTAGCATGGCTTTGGGAATAATCTCACTAGGCATATGGTGAGATTAAAGGGGGGCACTCTCCTTAAGTGAAAAAGATAAATTTTAGCCGAAACCGGTTTGGCTCAGCGGTTAGAGCATCGGCCTGCGGACTCACGGGTCCCAGGTTCGATTCCGGTCAAGGGCATGTACCTTGGTTGCGGGCGTATACCCAGTAGGGAGTGTGCAGGAGGCAGCTGATGGATGTTTCTCTCTCATTGATGTTTCTAATTCTCTATCCCTCTCACTTCCTCTCTAAAAAATCAATAAAATATATTTTAAAAAAAAGAAATGTGAGACCAGATAGCGAGGCAAAGGTGAAAACATTCATGTTTTTATCCTGTGTTCAGATAATATATTCAGAAGCTTTCTTATCCCCTGTTCCTTTCCTGTATTATATGACGAAAAGCCAAAAATAGTTTTCATTATTCCCTTATCAGAGGAAGGAGAAAATATATCTGATATTTCCTATGGATTGAAACTAAGTATCTAAAGGTAAATCTTCCTGTTGTTTTGCCATTTAGTATAACAAGAATGATATAAGACACTTTAAAACATTCACTTGGTTATGTTTAAGTCCAGATCACTGTCTTTGGAGAGAAGCGTTATTTTTGGTTACACGTCAGCCCTTAACACTGGGACACCCTTGTTCCTCTGACTGTTACCTCCAGGCCCAAACAGGGCAGGGATGATGGGAGAGAAGTAACTGCCTCAAGTTTTAAAAAACCTTTAATTTTGAAATAACTTCAAACTTCCAGAAAAATTCAAAGAACAGCATAGAGAAAAAAGCCTGTGTACCCTTTTTCCAGATGTCATATTTTGGAACAGTGGTTTTATTATTCTTTTGCTCTCTCTCTGTATATATATATGTGTGTGTGTATATTTGTGTGTGTATTTGTGTGTGTACACACAGGCACACTCATACACCTTCTTTTATCTGAGCCATTTGAGAGTAAGTCCCTTATATTTTGTCTCTCTAACTTTTAATTCTAATGTTTCAGGGAAAAATGCCTGAGAACAAGGATATTTTTATACATCATCACAGTACAGTTATCCAAAGCAAATGACTTTACATAGGTATAATCTTTTCTTACTCCAATTCCTGTTTTTAATTTCATTAATTGTCCCAATAATGTAACTGAAATTTTTTTATAATAAGCAGATTAAAAAATAAAACATTTTTCCATCTCTAAGATAGTATAGAAAGCTTTTGAAATTGATAGAGAAATGCACCAGTTGCCCGTCTCTAACCACAAATGAGAATTTATAATCAGCAGAAATGTTAGAAACAAACTCACCTCTGTGCTTCTGTGAAGTGTGTTTCAGAGATGAAATCAGCCAAGGTCATCAGCACAGTTTCAAAGTGAACTTTGGTGCTGGGCTGTTGTTGCGTATCTTCCAAAGTAAATATGTCCCAAATCAAACACCACTCAACTAGCTTTGTCAGCACATATCCCTCAGCTGTGTCTTTGGTTACCGCTGAGTGACTTGTGACTCCTCAGCTCCAGTTCTGGTGTAGCTGGCGTTTTGAATGCATGACTGTCACTGTGTCGATGGGCTGATGGAGCAGTCTCGCTGAAGCCACCATACAGATGCTTTTCAGAGCTTGGGGGCTGGGTTACTTCAGGGCTGGTAGCTGTACTGCTTCCATGAAAGTAAAGGTCACTCGTCTGCCCTCTAACTGTGAATTCTGCCTCTAGGATGAATCGCAGTGCCTGAGTTCGTCCTGGCCTCCAGGGCTGACATAGCTGCGAGGCAGGCGGGTTCCATGAGCTCAGTGACAAGGGAAGAGGGAGGATGAGATTTGTGACTTACAGCATAGGGAGACCTTTCTTCAGTCAAGGGTCACTGTCTTCTCCGCCAGAATTTGCAGCCCAGTTCTCCTGTCCATTGTAAGACTGCAGAGCAGGGCTTTCCAAACGCAGGTCCACCTAGGCCAGTGGTCAGCAAATCGCGGTTCACGAGCCACATGCGGCTCTTTGGCCCCTTGAGTGTGGCTCTTGCACAAAATACCACGTGCAATTGAAACTTCGTGGCCCATGCACAGAAGTTGGTTTTCGGCCTGGGTGAGTCTATTGGCATTAGAAGAAGTAGGGGGAGGGGAGTGTCGGTTGGTCGGTCCGGCGACGCGGCACAGGCAGGCCGCAAGATACGCAGCGCGGGGGAGGCGCGCGATTCATGTAGGAGTTGAGTGAGCCAGTCAGTCCGCAGTCTCATTGTGCAGTGGTTAGTGCTAGTCGTGTCCGCAAATTGCGCACGGGTGACAAAAGTATCTACTCAAAGCATAAAGTTACCTGTATTTTTCCAACCAGCTGCATATCCTACAGGTATTTTTGTCATAAATTTAAGAATAGACGAAACAAGTATACAAGACGAGTGTGGATGGGAGAGTTGGAAGGGGTCGACCTCAGCGAACGTACCTCAATCAGATTGAGGACGTTTTTAGCAAAGGCCAGCTTAGGAGTACCATAATGAAGTTAATAACAATGTACCTACCTATATAGTTTAAGTTTAAAAAATTTGGCTCTCAAAAGAAATTTCAGTTGTTGTGCTATTGATATTTGGCTCTGTTGACTAATGAGTTTGCCGACCACTGACCTAGGCATTCACAATCTGTGGGGCTATGATTTGTTTATTTGTATTTTTTAAAATATATTTTTATTGATTTCAGAGAGGAAGGGAGAGAGAGAGAGAGAGATAGAAACATCAATGATGAGAATCATTGATCGGCTGCCTCCTGTACACCCCGCACTGGGGATCGAGCCCACAACCCAGGCATGTGCCCTTGACCAGAATCGAACCTGGGACCCTTCAGTCTGCAGGCCGATGCTCTATCTACTGAGTCAAACCAGCTAGGACTGTTTGTTTGTTTTTAACTTTGTAATCTAAAATATTATAAGAATATGCTGAATTGTCTGGAAAACCAATTTATGACAGAGTGCTGCTCCCTGATTTCAGTACCCTTGAGTGTGTTTGGTGCTGTCACCCACAGAAGTGAGAGTGAGACTCAGGGCAATCTGCAGGTGTGCAAGGGGCCTGCAGGGGGGCATCTGTGTGTTGCTTATTGTGACAAATTTGGCATATTAAAGGGCTGTCTGTTTTTTGAGTTCAGGACTCAAAAAATGTTGGTTGTCCAGCCAGCATGGCTCAGTGGTTGAGTATCAACCTATGAACCAGGAGGTCACAGTTCGATTCCTAGTCAGGGCACATGCCCAGGTTGTGGAATCGATCTCCAGTGTGGGGCATGCAGGAGACAGCGGATCAATGATTCTCTCTCATCGTTGATGTTTCTATATATAGCTCTCTCTCTCTCTCTCCCTTCCTCTCTGAAATAAATAATACACACACATATATATTTTAAATGTTGGTTGGAACTTGGTCAGCTTTGGCACCTATAGTAGTAGCCCCTCATTAACTGTGCTTTCGTGGCAGTGTCCTGTGTGGCACTGGGCTTCTTAAATAGGAAGCTTCTGTTCATTGCTGCCCTCCTTTGCATTCCTCCACCTCCAGCCCCTTCCCAGAGTCCACCTGCACCCCTAAGTGTCTCAACCGGCTTCCCAGGGACATAGCATTCTGGTGGCTTTTGAGAAAAAGCTGTTCCTTCTCCCACACAGCATGTTACCAAGTCCTAGGCCAACTCCTGCACCCTCCCTGATATTGTGAAAAGAACACGTCTAGGGAAGAACTCTAAGAAGTACAGGCAACTTAAGGAAGAACATAGAAACTCCTGTCAATTCAACCACCAGAAATAATTATTAATATGCAGCTGGTATTTCCCCTTCTTTTTCTATTAATATATGTTTATACACATATATTTTAAATTTATATAATATTACTTACACATATTACTTTACTTATCATATTACTTTTGTGTTTTTTTCACTTGAAATATTGTGAGTTCTACCTATGTCACCAAATATTCTTCGAAAATATTTTTTAATATACTATAATTTATTTAAATGCCCCCTCAAGGTAGACATTTAATTTTTTTTCTGTTTATTTTGCTGTTATAACAAATATTACATTTTTATGCCTAAATAAGATTTTAAAAATGTTTTTATTGATTTTTGAAAGAGAGGGAGAGAGAGAGAGAAACTCAAGGTAAGAGAGAAACATCTACCATTTGCCTTCCTCAGGCACCCTGACTAGGTATGGAACCCACAGCCTGGGCAGGTGACCTGACTGGGGATTGAACTGGTGACCTTTTGGTGCATGTGAAGATGCTTAACCAATGAGCCACACCAACCAGAGCCAGATTTTTTTCACACTTGAGATACAGTTCACATAGCAGGTTCATAATGATTTGATATTAGTACATATTGCAAAATGATTACCACATTAACATCTATCTCCACATATAGTTAAAAATTAGATTTTTTTTAGATTTCTAGAGTTGAGATTTTAGGTAAAATGGGGATATTTAGAATTTTTATGCATATTACTAAACTAGAGGAGTGGTGCATGAAATTCATGCACAGGTAGGGTCCCTAGGCCTTGCTGGTGATGAGGGCCAATCGGGGCCTTTCGGCTGCTGGCTGGGACTTCCTTCATTCCATGCCACCTCATGGTGGTCAGCGCACATCATAGTGAACAATAGAACTCCCAGTCTCCTGGTCAAACACCCACAGGGACACTTTGCATATTAGCCTTTTATATGTATAGATAACTTTACAGGAAGTGTTATACCAATTTATAATCTACCAGCCAGTGTGAAAGTGCTATCTCACTCTGCACCCCCAGCAATGGGTATTATCATCTGTCCCACCTCTGTGTCCCTGGCCCGTATTTGGTGCTCATAAGCACAAGCACAGAGTCCCCCTTCACTGTATGGGGGCTCGACATCTATCTGCTGGGGTTCTGTGAGGATCGGCTTGTCTAGCAGGCACTGTGCACAGATTTAACCATTTACACACCTGAGGAGCCACTCCCTGCTCCCCACCTGAGGAGTCACCACCTGGAGCAGGGGAACAGGGCCTTCAGTCCCTCACTTCTACATCTGCACAGCTCTCCCTCTACCTGTTGCACGTGTTGGGATTCTGCTCAAGATCATTGTTTGAAAATTTGGGGTGCTGGAAAAGATTTGAAAGCCACTTCTCCTCCACCACAAGATTTCTCACAATCTCATTCTCTCCATATACATCCTCACCTGAGCCCTCGCCCCAGTTCATTATTGCCTTCCCCTAAGTATTCCATGCACTCCACATTCCCTTGCTTTGAGCTGATGCTGGACAGTCTGCTCTCTGTTCTCTGGCTGGCTAAGTGTACTTGCATGGTAACATTGAGACTCATGACACTTTTCCAGGAACTCCACCCACTGTGCTTGCTCATCTGCCTCCAAATTAGGCAGAAAGACCTTAAAGTGCAGAAATGGTGTTTTTCACCTCCCGGTGAAACTTAGCTAATAAATGTTTGCTGGATGAATGAACGTTAACCGGGGAACTTACCAAGTGTTGGTTACTGCTTATTGTGCCTTTTCCTACCCAGTCTAATGGACAGGTTCCCGAGGATGCTCTTGAAGAGTGAACCTGTGGTTGATTTCACTTCTGTAGGTTTTAGGGTTTTTTGAGTAAATAACCTTTTCTCTCTCTCTCCTTGGCACATCAGCTTACCCGACGGTTGCCGCCCATCAAGGAAGCTAAGCCACGGTTGCAGAAGCTCTTCCGGGACTTCTGGCTCTATTCTGTTCTGATGGGATTCGCCGTGGAGGGGTCAGGTAGGGGCATGTCCACTTTTCGAGGGAAGACAGCGTGCAGAATGAAAACAAAGGTGAGGTAGGCCTCAACCTATTTTGAATGTGCACATATTTAAATTAGCGCAATGCAGCTGCTGCTTCCTGCAAGTATTTGCAAATGTTACACCTCCCCGATGTGGTTTAGGGTCCTGAGACTACCACATAACTTAGGGAAAACTTGTGTAAGTTATCCAAAAGATTTGTATCTATGCCAAATTTTGGGAAAAACTGACTTAAAGAAGGGACCCATGACTCTAGAAATTGCCAGTGTCGACCCCACCATAGAGCTCCATGACCAGGGCAGTCATCTCACTCCTGTGCATTCTCTTCCAGGACTCTGGCCAGAAGAGTGGTACGAGGGGGTCTGTGAAATAGCCACCAAGTCCCCCCTGCTCACCTTTCCCAGCAAAGAGCCACTGCGGTCTGTCCTCCAGTATAACTCAGCCATGAAAAACGACACAGTCACCCCCGTAAGGATTCTTGTCCTCCTAAGGGCAGATGGTGCAGCACAGGGCTTTTGCTGAGCAGTCTTGAATAATTAGAGCAGGTCCTTTCATTTAACATGAAATAGCCAGGATCAGCCCCTGGGGTTTGTGTCTCCTGGGGGAGGGCTAGCTTCCCCTCCAGAGCCCCCGTGAGACCTCAAGTTTTCATTCCCCTCCAGGCTGAACTG